ATGAGGGAGATTTGAGAAACAATCTTTTCTAGATCAATATTATTTTAATCATTTCCTATCATGTCACAAAATCACTTTTAGGGAAAAATGTAATTTTGTTACTTCATAACTACGGTAAGATTTTCATCAAATTCGTTTTCTCATTATTGTGCTTCAGAATCTAAACAATTATTAGTATTTTCTTCTAGAGAGTCATTCGTTTCTTTACCTTGATTTCTATTAGTCCCTTGATAGTTAAGCTACCCTCCGCGAGATACTTGTTCCGAGTAGAATCCTAGACACGAGAAAGCCACTCCCCCAACAAGAAGAATTGTATTTGCTATCTGATGAATCTGCTCCGGGTCATTCAGATTTGTATACTGTTTAGGTGGTTAAAACAGCAGGAGGCATGGAACGAGGAACAACAAAGTGTGTCGTAGAGAATTCTGCACTTGATACTCGTTAAGTCATTGCAGTTGTTTGTTGCCTAATACCTTGAAAGCAGACATACTAATTGTAACATTTCTGCGTGCTTCATACCATGTGAGCAAAATCATTCACGCCAACCACAATGGAAACTAAATGAATTTTAATTTCGATGAGTTTTTGTTGGCATACTCCAAGTTGAGATGAAAGAATTGTGCAATTTGAGTTAGATCTAATTTTTGTAATTTTATTTATTTTTAAACTAATTTACCAAAGATGCAGTGGCGTCGAAAATTATCGCTCACAAAGATGTATAGATTATCGTGTCTAGGGTTCTTTCATGTTACATTTTTTGTCTAGTAATTAACTTAGTAAATGCACGAGTTACGTAATGCTTAACAGTTACATAGCTTTTACATGTTCCTTATACGTTACCTTTATTAAATGTGAGTGCGAAGACTTTATTCTTTTTAAAATAATTGTTTATATCTTTGGTTCTACTACTTTTTCGCTGCTTCCGTGAGTTCGTAATAATTTTCCCAAAGATGTCTTGGAATTATCGTGGCTGTGTACCTGAACGAGATAAATAGAATGTGTGAAGCACTTATTAAAATCATATTTTTTCTAATATTTCTTCAAACTTCCTGAAACGATTGTAGGTAATATAGTATATGCATTTCCCTTTGTAGTTGGGGTTGTATTGACTTCAAAACATAACTTCTTCCAGCAGAGTTTTGCCACAAACGGCTGCAGAATTTTACATCGTGAATTTTAGGCCCTGGGAAAAACTATCAGAACTGAAAAAAAATATTTTGCACTTGAAATTTGCTATTACCTCAGTCACCGAATTTTTGAATTAACGTGTTTAATTTTTATCTCATCTCTTTTAATAATGTCTTGTTATAAGTGGACAAATGTTGCGATCAATAAACATATCTTTTATTGATCTATCCTAATATCTATAATCAGTGTTTCTGGAATAATATAATCGATATGTTTCGTGGTATTTAGTGACCTGTATTGTTTGCAATATATTCTTATAATGTCCAGTATTATAATTATTTTCAGGAAATTTCTCGAAAGTATCTTCATAGCTTTGCAGAGACAGAAAAATGGGTTTTGAATCCTGAGGTTTTATGGCCACTTAAGGTTCGGGGTGTTTTCGAAGCACTAGTTTCTTCAAACTTCAATTTCAAATGTTGCTTAAATCAAGGTCGATGGGGGGGGGGGGATTCAAATTCTTAAGGATGGTAATATTTTGAGGGCAAAATGTTTTCTAAAAGCTATTTTCTGGGTATTACATGTCTTGATATTGCGACCCTCCTCACGTAAGTTTTGAAAATAAAGATTGGTTTTGTTCGCATTACAGATATAAATATTTCAGTAGAATTTAAAAAGATAGCATTTATGAATAGAACACAACTCATTACCTAGAATTACAATTTATGAGTGCTCATAATTTGTAAAAAGAAAGTAATTGATAAAAAAGGAGGTAACATTTTTAAAATGTCCAAACCTCGAAGTCTAAGATCGCAATGGTAAAAGAATAGAAGTCACTACGAACTAGGGGCACGTTATTTTTTAAAGCGTGGAAAGCAGAAGAAGTCTCTTTCTCCTTCCGTTGATAAATTACACAGCAGAACCACTTATAATATTGAACATTTTAAACCTATAGAGGTATCACGAGATAAAATGTCTAATCAACACTTTAAAATTAATTTGTACAAATAACTATATTTGTTCTTTGTTGTAAACACTATAAACTGAAGTAGTTTAAAAAAGGATAAAAATTACCACTTTGTTTGAACCATAAAATATTCGCATTTATCCACAGTCTTATAAGGTAGCTCGTAACAACAGAAAAATATCGAAAATGGCTAATCATGCTGACAATGTGGGATTTAGTTTTGTTAGTGAAGGCCGAAATGTACTCATTGTTCACTGATGAATATCTAAATGCGCTTTGGACTGCGAGCTTCGCACTGAAAGTGGGCCAGATTATCAGACGGGCTCCCAGAGACCTCATACATTTTTGGAGTAGTGAACATTACAAAAAATAATATTTTTTCTTCGATTTTTATTTTTATTTGAGCTGTTTTTGGTCAAACTTTCGTGTAAAGCGGTTTTCTAAAAAATCTTCCTATTCGTTCGTCTCCTCCTGTATATTTTTTGGCGGCTATGTACTTTTTCGTGTTAATATTTCCAATCCAATGATCTTAAATATCCATCCAATAAAATCCCCAGCCGACTACCGCCTTCTCCTAATGGCATTACTGTTGGTTTTAGCTTCTAGAAGTGTACGCTGCTCCCTCTTTGCGAAAGCCCCCCCTTCTCTCTTATTGTGAGCCATCTCGTGTTAACGGAAGCGAACTTATAAAATGTATATAGTCGAACGTGATCGATATTTGCGCCGCGTGATACCCTTCCTGCTTGAGGAGGGCGGCCGCTCGACCGCGCCCCTCGGGGCGGCGGCGGCGGGGAGCGGGCCCGTGTCACGCGAGCGGGCGGAGGGGTGGTCGCGGATGCTCGTAATTAAGAGGGCGGGCCTCCGGGCGAAGGGTGTCGAGATTCCGAATCCCGCCGCCTCCGTTGCCCCTCGCGGTTCAACGCCTTCCTTCCCAGTTCTCGGCTACCAGCGGCGACCTCTGACCCCCGTGTGCCTGCGCGGGTACGCTGCCGCTTTTGAAGTTTCATGTCGTGGGTGATCTTTCTGTTGGTTGACGTAGTAGGCGTCGGAGAACTTGTGAACATGCTCGAACCAACATGCATAACGTCATAACAAGGATAAATTAGAAAAATATTGATGGACTGATACTCTTTAAGAAATAATATCCAATCGTTTCGTAATACTTCCATTCGACCACGTCACCCAGAAATACAAAACAGAAAGAGATGCTAAATGCTGGTAGGAGAGAGCTAAAGACTGATACCAATGGAAGATATTAAGTCTTCTAACATAAGATTTTGTAGTAGTTTTCGATCAGTAAGAGAAAAACCAATGTAAATAAATAAATAAATATTTGGAGGTTTAATTCAAGTTTTACGAAGGTCCAGAAGAGCAACACATAATTCAATATTTTCTCAATAGTTTGTGTAGACTTTCCTTCTCCAACTGTCCTGTTTGCTAATTCGTATTCCTGCACCAACGTTTTTATTCGGATTTTGATTTTTCGTGCATTACAACAAAGATTTTTTACTTTTTCGTTGACAAATGAAATTGTTAGTCAACAGAGAGGAGTTTTGATGCCTACAAGAAAATCAAAATTCTTGTTTGTTTGACAAGTTGTACATTTATTTCATTAAATAAAAATGAAAACTACCGATGTTGACACTTTTTAAGGGGTGAAGTTTATGGTTCGATTTCCTTTCCTACTCCGCACGTGTACCGTGAATTGTAGGTGGCAAAACAACGGGAAGCGAAGCCGCCCTGACTTATTGACGAAACACATGCAGCCACGGCGCGGCGTGTGTGAAAACCCTCGCGTTTTGTGTAAGAGCGACGCCCCGAAATCCCCGCGCGCTAGTCCGCTCGCTCGCCCGGGTGGCGCGGGGCGGGGCGGGGAACGCAGGGGCGCGGGGAGCGCTCCGGGAGCGAGAGGGGTTCGCGTGACGCGCGCTAAGCTGCACTTGCCAGCGCCGGCGGCGGCGGTGGCGACGCGCGGGCGGCCGGGGCCGGCGTGAACGGCGCCAGGGGGCTCGCGCCCTCGTCCCTCTCCTGCCGGCATCTGCGGACCGCGGGTTCGGCCCCTGCGCTTCACTCCCGCTCCGCCCCCACCGCCCGCACCGCCACCGCCTCGCCGCCGCCACCGCCGCCACCGCCTTTGCCGCTCCAGCGTCAGCGACACGAAAAGGCCATACGCGCTAATACCGAGAGCCCCAGCCCGCGCGCGCGCTCGCTCTCCGGGTGCCACCGCCGCCGTCGCCACTGCCTCCGCGCCCCCTCGCACATATATTTATTTTATCCTCGTCTTTTTTGTATTATTTTTTTTTATCTCCGCCGAGCGATGGTCGCGCCCCTGGTTTGGAAAAAAAGCCCTCGTCGGATTCGTCCGTCCACATTTCAATCGTAGACCAGGCGTTTGAAGGGTGCCCGGGAAATATATGATGTTAACGACGCGAGATCCAGGATGGAATTTAATTTGTTGGTTTTTTTGTGTGTGTGTAGCGTGCGAGAGGAATATTTTGTTTGAAGCATTATTTGTTCAGTGAGTCATGGCGATATGGTGCGGGATCGGCGGCGGCGGCGGCGGCAGGAGGTGGCGCGGCGGCGAGAGCGAGAGGAGGGCGTCGGCGGCGGTGGTGGCGGTGGTTTCCAAGCCCGGGAGAAAGTTTTTCTCACTCGTCCTCCTCTTCTCGTCCCCGAACCCCCTCCCCCTCCCCCTCCTACCACCCTTGTTCCACTCTCGTATCCTCCGCAACCACCCTTCTCGTCCGTCCGTCGCGCTTTCGGTTCTCTCTCTCTCTCTCCCTCTAGCGCGCTTCTCTCCTTTGCCTCCCCTTTTGTTATTGCAATATACATCCATTATTCATTGGAGGGGGAGGCCTGAAGCCGTAATCAAAACAAATCGCGCGTCGAGAGGCGCTCGCCTCGGCGCATGCGCGCGGCTGTGGCTGCGTCGGCGGCGTTGGCGGCGTTGGAGGCGGTGGCCGCCGCCACCGTCGCTGCCGTCGCCTTCGTCGCCATCGCTGCTGCTTCGTCGCTGCTGCCACGTCGACGCTTCTCGCCGCAGCCGCCCGGCGTTGCTGCGTAGCTGCTGCTCCAGCGCCCCTCGGCCTCCCCCAGCCATTTCTCTCACCGCCGCGTCGCCCCGCGCCTCTCCGCTCCCATCTCGTTCGCCGAGAACCACGCCGCCGCGCCGCCTGGCGTCTCGACGGCGTCGCCGCCGCCGCCGCCACTTGTTAGCTCGCCTCGTCGGCCGGGCCCCCACCGGCGCCCTTCGCTCCCCTCGACCGCCGACAACCGCACCCCCGCCTCCGCCGCCGCCTTCTTCGTCGCCGCGCCGTGGTCTCGACGCCTCCGACGGACAAAAGGCGCTTTGTCCGCCCCTGACCTGCTCCGCCGGTGCCGCAGATGGGGCGACAGCGGCTGCGTCCGGTCGCGTCTTGGCGCCCGCTGGCTTCCTCATCCGCGTCTTCGTTGGTTTCAGTTCAGCGAGGCGCCCTTGTAGACACTATTCCGCATTCAGTGTTGGCACTTTCTTTTAGCAACTCATTCACAAGTGCCGTTCGAACTCCACAGAGATCATTGTAACCAACGTATTAGCTGCCAGATCAGCATTATTTCTATTCTCGTATTTCGTAACCGCCGCTTCATCAACTCTGTTCACTTACTGTACGTTATTTCCCTGTTGCTTCGCGGCGAAGCGTATTCAGCACTTTATAAGTGATCTTCGTTTCTTTTGTATGAACAACCAGTTTCCATGATACACAGCATCGCCATCTTCAAAATATTGTTTTGCGTTTACTTCTCTGTGCTATTTTTAATTCCGTTCTTTTTTTTTTTTTTCGTTAGTGATTTAAATGTTATTGTGCTGTTCCCTTTGTTAACTTCTCCTTGATCCACGAAATGAAAGATTTGCTTTGGTGAAACGAAGAACGTAAGATGGCGGCACCCCTAATGCTTTACTTCCTTTTAATCGGGATAACATTGCCTATGTAGTGTAAATCTAAAGAAAATTATTTCAATGGCAATGGCTTGTCAAAATATTCAACAAAATTAAATTGTATTGCATAAAGAAAAATGTTTTAAGATTTGTCCAGGAGTGCCAACCCTACCTCAAAAACCACATACATATTTCCATTTTTAGGTACTTTTTAAACTCTTAAGACGCTTTTCAAACCTTGCGCTAAGTCACTTTTAAAATACTACTCAAATAACATTTACTCAAATCCTTTGCATTTCTCGTAACTCCTTCTCCATCTCTCTCGCCCTCGCATTTCTCCATCTCTCATGACCATCTAAAATTGACTGCCAATAGTTTTTCATCATTTTACGCAGTCGAATCGAGATGTGGAGATTCGGTCCATCTTCATTCTGTCAATGCAAATTCTCCATACATACCAATTTATTGATGAAAGTCATATGGAATTATAATTTTTTATCAATTAACAACCATTTACAAATAAAATCGAATATATTAATTGCTTATTACATCTCTATAAATACAACAAATACTATTTTTTCCCTACCAGTGACCTTTCGACTCGCATTCTTCAGTTCATCAGGTTGTCTTGTCAAAAAATCGCTATCAAGGTCATATATCTTAATATTTCAAAATTCTTAAAATACACACATCTCTTGAATACAGTTTCAATTTACAAATCATTCACTTTCACTTACAACTGAATTAACCACAATTGTTTCAGTCATTCTCATATCTTATCTTTTAATCTCAGAAAACATTCTCATCACGTCTATACCCTTATGGTTTCTAATCCATTCGCTTTCACTTGTCAGTGGGTTACACTTTTCCATTCCCAGTTTCTAGATAATAATAATAATAATAATAATAATAATATCTTTATTAAAATTAAATATAAGATGTTGTTTCCAATAAATGTTCAAAATGTTTCTCGTATCGTCTTTTAAACGTGTTTGGTGTTTTCCGAAATATATTCTACGTGTTCTTTGGTTCCATACTGTCTTTTTTTATTTTATTAATGTCATTACGTCTTCATCTCACTTTTATTTTTGGCTATCGTTGTATGTGACTTCTTTGAGGCGTATGTTTTGTCTTATAATGGTGTTCCTAATTTTTCCCTTCACTGCTATTTCTAACAAATTTCTTTCCTTTTTACTGGCTAAGTGCTAAGCATATTCGTTACTTTTTATGACTCTCCGTACGACGTTCTACGGTAGAAATCGGCTTTCCTTCTGTAAAGAAATTAAATTGTTTTGCTGTAAATAGCTTCAGTTTTTGACATAGGGTGGAAAGAATTTACTTGATGGTTTTAGATTGTGGTACCTAGACATTCAATACTCAGTGGAATGTTGCAGGCATCCAAACAAACATAAATATTCATTTCTTTCTGTGTTAACAATTAGTTTCTTCGGATCGAATGTGTCTAATCAAATATTGCAATTTCTGATTAATCAAATAGTTTCTTACAGAAAAATAATTATTAATGTTATCGAAAGATATTCAATATCTCTGTAGCAGCACCGTGTAAAAACCTGACTCTTTTCTTGTTAATACAATGTTTTATAATGTTCTTTTGTTGACGGGTGATTTCTTTCAACCTCAAGTTTAGTTGTTCTTCATTGGGTTTGTGGGCGTTTGATGACTTTTCTAAAGATCTGGCATTTTAATTTCTTTGACTTTCCACGTTGTTTTTCGTTGGACGACCCGCTATGCTTGTTAATGCCTCCTACCTCTCTGTCTTCGCTGACCATCAATGGGTTTGGAACACCCAAAACCTTTTTCTGACACATAGTTCAAATTCGCAAATCTGATCTAATGACAAATTGAATTCGTACGAACTTGCGAATCACTTGCGTAGGTCACGCGCCTCAAAACCTAGTTCAGGAAGATTAAAGGGCATTAAACCTTTTCCATACGTCGCACCATTCTCCCTATAACATGTGTATTCAGACTGATATGTAAAAACTATTCGTTCAGTTCAACTGTGTTTTGTTTTACGAGTAAAGCCAAAGGTTCCCTGTTTAGGAAGCTAAAGAGACTGAACAATGGGGTTCGTTACTAGGATAATAACCAGGATGATAACCATCCTTTCTGGATACATTGCAAAGTTCCAGATATTAATATTTCTTTAACGGCTTAATCATGCAGACCATTCTTTCAATTCTCCTTCAGCACTTGGATAAAAGACGGAGAGAATGAAATTCGGAAGTGTTGTAATTTCAATTTTACTGAAAATCGAATCAGCTCCATTTTTTATAAACATATTTTGCTTTATGAAGCAAACAAGTTGGAGCCATTTTTGAGACAGTTTTGAAAATTACCGAGAATCTTTATGTAAAGTATCTGAAAACATTAAAATATCCACCCATTCTCTTTTCTTTACACACAATGCGACTAACGGTATCCTTTCGGTATGTTTATTTATTTGCTTTAAATACAAAGTATGTTTTTAGTACAAAAGGTGACTTTCTTTTGAATCAGTTCCAAGGAGACCGTTCTCTAATGATATTTGCAGCGTTTATTAAGTGGATGTTAAAATAAACTCGTTAGGCAAGTGGTCATAATATTTTGAAACAGTATTCCTTTAGTCCATTAGATTGTTAAATAATAAGGAATGTTCGTGATAGCCTTTGGCTGCCCTTGGACATTTTTTTATTGATTCTGGTTCTGTGAAAAAATATGTATTATCTGCTATATTGGACTACGTACATTAAAAACAATAAATAGAATTATTTTGTTTGAATAATAATAATTTCGTTCTCCGTTGAACCTCGAAAATTATGTAATCATCATTTTAGCGAAATCTTTAAAATAAGTTATTTAATTAAGAAAATTAAGTTAAATATTAAAATTTTGTAATGTAAATTAGACACGTTTTGCAATGTAAAATGCTTCACATTTTCATTTTTGCTCTGAAAATTGAGCTAATAAAAGAGAAATGTTCCAGTTGCTCTCTCAGTGAATATGTCTTTGATTGTCTACCTATTTTTACATAAAGCATCTTCAACATTTACTTCTGCTTAAAAGTCGGTGCTCAACAATCGAAATGAGGTGATAAAGAGCCAACCTGGGTGGCCGAGGTGGCTAAGAGCGTTTACCCACTCGGCTCATCGGTCCGAAGGATCACGGGTTGAAGTATCGCCCTAGGCATGGTTGTTTGTCCCTTGTCTCTCATGTATGTGTTGTCCTGGAGGGTCTGATGTTCTACTGAATCCCGACCCCCAAGTGTGCTGGTGTATGGTCGAATATGTGTCGCATCGGGACGTAAAGGCTAACCAGCTGTCTGCTGAATTAAAAGACCTAAGAAGAAGAAGAAGAAGATGATGATGATGATGATGATGATGATGATAATAAAGAGACACAATGGGACTTATTTTGTGTCAGCCTGTCTCAGTTTCTTCCGTCACGTTGCTAAGAGGTTTTGTGTCGCAGCAAATCGTCAATTTGCTTCACCGGCAATGGCCCTTAGAGTCGCATTCGAATTACAGACCAGAGTTCTATTTGAACTCGTAACCAGGGACAGACTTTCGTTATCACGTGTGATTGCGGAATTACAGAGCGTATTTAATATTGATCTGGTGATAGACACTGCCTTTCGTTATCACACGTGAAAAGTGCCCCACCTGACAAAGTGTGCAGGATTGTGTAGTGTTGTTCCATCAAGGGCGTTGCCACAAGCGATGCGCTAATGGATACAGCGCACTGTGACCCGGATGCAGACAGCATTGCAATGCGCAGCCTAATGCTTTGCTCGCGAGCCATTTACATAAATATGCGTAGTTAGTACTCACTGGTCATGCGTTCAAACGAAGGCTTTGTTATGCGTCTTGAAGGCTCATGAATGTTCCGAAATGCATGTGGAACATGAATTCAGTTTTCTCGTCCGAGTAATGCTGAATTGTATTAAAAAGTCATCGTGATGGAGCAGGAAGATTTGTGAACCTATTTAATTAATTCATTTCGTTGGTTTTTTCTGGCTGACCGAAATTCCGGGAAGCTGGAAATAAGATATTTTTTGGTGATTTGAAGATAACATGATATATCATTCTGATACAGTTCAACGTTTACATTTTCTAGTTAAAAAGCTCAGAGAAGACATGTTTTTAAAATATAGCTGAAATTGAAATTGTATTTATTTTTATGATAGTTAACTAAAAAAATTGTGGACAAGTCACTACTTTGAATCACTAATTTTAAAATGATCAAGTGATGCGTTTTGACAAAAAAAAATATATCTCAAGTGTGTGCTGAATATGTATAACATGAGACTCAATCGCTTTCCAAAGATTCATGACTAAGGATATTAATTTTCTTTGGGGAAAATACGCATTTTCAGATTTGCCAAGCCACAAAGAGAGCGTCTTACGTAGCAAACGGAGAAGACAATTATTTCTCGTTCAGTTGGCCAACATTACACAGCGCAGTTGCGGTTTCGTCCCTCGCCGGGTACTGGCGCGCAACGTCCTCCGACCGACACGTGGCCCGATCGGCGCGGCACCCCCTTTCATCTTCCCGTGTCCATCTGGCGGCGTTAAATGCACTTTCTCTGTCCATTTTAAGTAATCACTTTGTGACTAAAAACAACAGCAAAAAAGTGGCCTCAAATTCAGTTCCCATTGTGCTGACCCAAATTGATTCACTGTAATTTTTTAACGTTTTGCTGTTGACTTTGTTTTCGCTCTTAAAACACGATGCTAATGCGATTTGGCGCCACTCCTGCGCGCGCCCGCCGCCACCGCCGCCGCCGCCCGCGGCTGCGCTCTCAAAGGAATGCCTGAGCGCGGGGCCCAAATTGCGCGAGCGCCGTCTTCCGACCCCCCCCCCTCTCCCCCTTCCCTCACGCCCTGCACCCGCGCGCCGGTGCCGCTTCGCCCCGCGCTCCCGTGTCCGCGTGGCGCTCCGCATCCCCGCCTCCTCCCTCGACGCCCCGCCCTGTCGCGCTGGCGCGCTTCCGCCCCGACGCCCACTGCCCGACCGACTCCCCGCTCTGCTGCCTCGCAGCCCCCGACCCTCGCCGGCGCGCCCACGCGCTTCTTCCCGTGCCGCGCGCGCCTCTCTGCAGCCCGCGTGACGCCGGCTGCATTCCGCCCGCCCCGCCTGCCCCTCCCGCCCCCCGCCCCCCGCCCTCCCAGCCCGCCTTGCTCAGCCCGGTGTTCGACTTCGAGAGCAGTCCGTCAAACTGAGGGGAATTGGCTAAGCGACGAGTTCACTCGACTTTCAGCTCTGCCAGGTTCTGCTGTTAGGTCAACAAATCTGACGCATATTGCCCACCAAATAATGACTTCGTTAGAACGTCGTCGTGGTTAGCTCAGCGTGGTCAGAGAAACCGTGGCCCAAACAGGAGTCCGGCGTTCGATTTCCGGTCTACACGAATGATTTCTGGATAGCGACAGCTGAGAACGTCTGGAAAGCAGCGTCAAAAAACGCTGAAGTTTGGCAAACGCTTCTTATTATTGGTACATTTTTAAGACTTAACAGCACGAAACATTCATGGGCCTCTGTAATTGATTTAGATAATTCCATTTTGAATTAGCTTCCGATATCTCTTGCCATACTTTGATATTTCTTTCCCGTCGTTATTTTCCGCCGATCTCTAACATTTGGGACCGTATCTGCAAGATGTCTATCATGTGGCATTATCTTGGTTTTCTTTCTCTGCAAGCGGAGCGCAATATCTGGCGGGAAAATGGTGAACCTGGGCCCTACGAACAGGAATTTTTAAAAATTCTAAGCGAGAAGCCCACATCGTTCGTGACGTATTAGTGAAAAATGAACACAGACTCGGATTAGTTTGTAAACATTCAAAGTAAATGTTACCAGGAGAAAACACTGCACATGTCTACCGCTAGGTTCCATTCTCATCGCTCATTCGCATCGAAGTTCCATTTAATCCATTGACGAAGATGGCGTTTCAGTGCCACTGGAGCCCTGTTTGTTGAGTTGAGCCACTGTATAAGGCGGCTCCACACATTCTTATTGCGTAGAGGTTACCGCTCCGGATATCCCTATAGTTGGATGAGTTGCTCGCTATTTGCCGAGTGACGAACATTCGAGGTCACTGATTCCACCGCGTGTCTTGAATGTTTAGACACATCGAGTGTGTTGCAGCCGCCTTTAGTCAACATCACTCCTAAGGCGCATCAAAGACCAGCTCCAACCAAGGTCATCGGTTGCCTATCTTTTTCGCTGACTAAACACTGCTCTCCAGGCCTTGCACGAAATAGGCTCCTTAAGTCCCTGTCCTATATATCCCAGAACAAGTAAAACAAAACATACTTTTCTTTAAGATAGTATTCGAAGAAAACATTGAAAAGTAAAAGTGAAGCAGTATAATCTAATTTCACATTTCTTCCTTGTTGTGACAGAATTGTTGAGTTCATCGACCTCTATTCATTTACGTCACGTTTCTTTTTTTGCGATGTGGATGCACAATATCGGCAGGATCGGAGTTCGAGGCCAGGATGTGTTAAAGTCCGCGTTCGAGAAAGTCGAAATGCTACCAGACAAGATTTCTTGATTTCCTTCATTGATGCCACATGTTCTTCAGACTCAGAGAACCTCATCTCACTCTGAAGTAAGCCTCCGACGGTTGTCTGTTCATGGAAATACAATACATCTCGGACTCCAGAGCTTGCAATTACACACAGGTTCCGAATAAGGAAAACAATAGTGCCTGTTTCGCTTATTCCATTCCGCGGATTACAAAACGATAATAGTTCATCCTACTATTTAGTAGATACATCGCGCATACAAACTAATTCGTACTGATCATGGCGAATGTAAGAATTAAAGAGCCTACGGAGAATAGTTTCGATATTTGAAACTTAAAACATTCTTTCTATGTAGAAACATTCGAAAAGAAACTTGTTATTAATATTCACTCAAGATTACAAAGAAATATTCTTGCAGTACCATTCTGAGATAAGCTTAGTTAACGTAATTACCAGCTTGCCTCATGCATTTATTTGGGGACGCTGTATGCGGATTAAGTCTCGCCCACAGAAGTAGGTTTTTCCTAAAGGCAGAACGCGGAACGAAACAAGGCTTTGGGTGTCTTCCGGCTTATAGAATGCCTTGTTCACTTTATAACAAAGCGAGGGTGCCGTTGACGTAGGAGGTCAACGTGTGATCGCCTATATAACAGAGGTACTCCGAAGCCAGTAGCAGGTTCTGAGACGGTGGGAAAACCTCGTGCGTGTGCCACAAAACTTGCGCCAAGACGGTCATATGCGAGCCAGGCTCGCGAGGCTGAGTCATAGTGACAAGCCATGCGACGTTATGTCCTTGGTGACTGCGTCACGGTATGGACGCGATGCTGTTGTCGATGCTCCGAGGTGAAAGATGTTGAGATGCCACGATTCACGCCATTCCAAATCGATGAAGATCGCTCCTGCGATCGAGCAAACCAAGCCGTTGGGCGCCAGAAACGGACTTTGTGGTCCAGCGTACATCCGTCACCGAAGCTAGCTTTGTGCGCGCTTCAAAAGTTAGGAGTGTGCGAATGCCACCCCAATCAAAACAATCTTCAATCGCGTTTTTGGATCGCTCCCGCGATTCAGGGGATAGTAGTCTATCAGAAGCTAGGGTGTAAGTAGATTATAAGTTTATATATTGTTTTGCTTTTCTTGGTAATAAATATATTTGTTATACGAAAGCTCTGTGTCTGTGGTCGCTGTGAGTATCCATGACGTCACACTTATAGCTATGATTGTCGCTGTCTCTGCTGCGACTCTGACCAGGAAGTCGTAGGGGTCGAGTCTCGATGGTGGCGAATTTTCGACATTAGCTGCTAGGTCGAAGCTAGTAGCAAGCTATGTCGAATTCACTCGCTGTCGGGAGGAGAATTATTATGGAGACTGTGTCTGCTCTGATCGATAGTTACCGTGGTTACTCCGATCTGTACCTGGCGAATGCCGGAGCAGTACCTTAACAATCGCCTTACGTTTTTTTTCATCGTCCTTGTTCTAACCCTTCTACCTGGTTCTCCCCTTACACACTTTGATACTCTACAATTTCATTAGAACGTCTCCCAACTGGGGGAGATGCCTGAGAGGGGAATTTCCCCGCAAGCCGACGTGTATGTTGACGCTGTATCTCACCAACCTGCGAAGGAAGAACACCGCCACCTCCAGGCAATGAAATATTCAATTCATTGACAGAAAAAATCAACATACCAGTTGATATGCTAGTAAAATCTATCAATCCATACTTCGATGAAAGTGTTGGTGGAAATTTCAGTTTTTGTATACATATTTAATTTTATTTGAACCTTTCTAATGCTCATTTGTCCTGTTTTACATGCCTTTTTGCGCTACTTTTCTAGTTGTAATTAATGCCTTTTTTGGGTATATTTTAAACTGGTAGGGCTACAACAGTACATAATTTTTCGCATTATTTTGACGGGGCCTCAATAATGTATTACAACATGAACCTGCAAAAGTTTTCTACCAGCAAACATTTGTTTTCCGCGCCGAGACTCAACTCAGAACCATCGAGTTATCTCGCCTTTTCTTAGAACCTTTGATAACTGTTTAAAAAATTGTTGTTTTTTTTTCATGTTACAGGCTTAGACATTAAGATGGCATTTTCATAACTATTTTCTTTTTTGTGTTTTGCAGGAAAATACAGCAGCGTACCATAGCTGTGCAGTACTCATCTCTGTTCATGATCATTAAACCCCATAACTGTAAGTGCGAAAGAGTATTTTATTTGAATGTTTCCTATATTATTTATTATTTTGTTTCTAGGTTGAGAATTGCAACTTTCTTAGTACCATAATCGTTATTTTACGGTAGAACTACATGTATGTTTGGTAAGTTTTCACGTGCTCGCTTACCGTGTTAAAACGATATTATACATACCTGCACGTGATACGCCTGGGTGATAAAATATCCGAAAGCTTTCTAGGTTCGTGTGTCGAAACGGAATTATGAAATATTTTTTAGAATATATTTGTTGATCGTCATTTGTTGCAACATGCTCTGGCTTGGAATCCAAGCCTCCAAGCCAGGCGTCCCTTCGGGCACAGCGTTCAGTCTGCGCGACCCTCGTCCCCTGTCGCCAGCACGCAGGGTCGGTGGATGGCGCGCGGACCTGTCTTTCGTCTCCCCCTCGCGCCGCCTCCTCCTCCTCCCGTGACATACGCGACGGAAGAAAGCTCTCCGCGCACAAAGTGCCTCTCTCCAACGCACCCCACCGCTCGGGGACGGAGAGCGACACGTTTCGCCTGCCGCCGCCGGCGGCTCCGGTTCGCAGCCCGGCGCAGGCCGCCCTCGTCGGCCCCGGCCCCCCAAGGGACGACGCGCGCGACCCCAGTCCCGCGTGAGCAGCGTTTGCTTGTCGGCTGGCCGAGACCTCTGGACGGTTTCCCCGTGGAGCGCGAATTGGGACGTGCATGGCAGAAAATGGAAAGCTCCATCTCAGTAGGAAGCATGTTCACTGATGTCATACTCATAAGAATAATCTCAAAAGAGGTATTTTGAATTCTCTCTGCTTTAGTTTAATTTTGTGTTTATTTTACCAGAGATGTAGAGCTTAAGACAATTGTTTCTCGCAAATTTTTTTTAGTTTCATTGTATCATTAAACTCTCTCTTAACTAATCACGTTACGGAATGATTGTAGTGAAAAAATATTTGCCTGTAAGTAATTTTTGTATTAAATTGATAAGGTATTGCATGAATTTACAATTATTATGAGTAGTTGTGATATTCCGTTGCACCATTTCGTTATGGTGTTCTCCAAAAAATATTTCAATGTCAACTAAACTATTTTGTAGTTGTGTAGTAGATTCGTTAGCCATAAAGCACAGTGAAAGCAATGTTAGAGTTACGTTAGAGTGTATGTAAGCGATGTGGCTCGACGCTGTTTGCCCTGCTCAGTCTGTTTGGAAGAATGGTTTTCAGAGAAAGTAGACGATGTCGATAGAATTGAAGGTGAATGTTAATTGGTTGAATGTAAATGTAAAGTAGAAAACATGAACAAACGATTGCGCGTGTACTCCAGCGGAAGAATTGATACGTAGTGGAGCAAATTTTCAGAAGACTATTTAGTGAGAACGCGGAGACTTAACGGAACTGTTATTACTAAAATGGATTTTTGGAGTCTAACATTTAGTCAATTGATATTTTATTTTTAAATTTATCAATCAGAATTAATATTTTGGGCCTTAATGTAAGTTTACAGTGATGGTAATCGGAAAAGATAGACTAGAGATAATGCCATATATTAAGCAATATGTACATTGAAAGCAAAGTGTACATTTTGTTCCGATTACGATCATTAGAATAACAAGAACTATAGAATCATTCGTGTGACGTTAGTTGGTAATTTTATTTAGAACGGTCACTAAGAAAATGCGGGAAATAGTACGAAAGACGTAGTAATGAAAGGATCCCGAGAGTTGAGGAAGACAAGAGAGCAAGTGCACAGTAAGTATACATGGTAGCAAGCAAGCATACATTCAAACTATAGACAAGCAAATGGAGTAGTCGTAGCAGCAGGTTGGCGAATGAGCCGGCGAGTGGGCAAATGAGCAAGCGAACGGACGGGAGACCACGTCGCACGCGAAATCGCCCACGGGCGATCGGGGCGTGCGGTGGCGGGGGCGTGTGAGGGCGCGTGTGACAGAAGCGTAAACGGAGCCGGCGCGGCGTGGGGCGGGGCGACGCGTTCCTCGCTCCTGGGCGCGCCGCATTTAGCGGCTGGCTTTGATATCCACACGCCCCCGACGCGGCCTCGCCGCCCACGCGCACGCACGCTGGCTGCGCATTGTGCCGGCCGGGCGCCGGGCCCACGTTCCGCCGCGCGCGCCGTTGTGTCGTGTGGCCACTCGCGCGTTCGCCTGCGGTTGCACCCTGGTACCTACCCAACGCCGGATGAGGCGTGGCGCGGTGCCGCACAGGGTGTCGCCGCCGCCGCCGGCGCGCCAGGAAGTCCCGCGTGTTCGCGCGGATACGCGCCGCACCGTGCGCACCGTGTTTCAAGGAAGCCACTTCGCGGATTCCTTCTTGCTGGGCTGAAGGTCGGTTCTGGTGGCTCGTGCGCGTTCGCTCGTTTTAGTTTCCTGGCTCTTATGCAGTTTCAAACGTGACTCACTTTGGTCCTAAAATCCGGCCAAACGGTGTGGAAAATGCTGGCTTTGTAATTTTTTGCTTTAGAGAAAATCAAACAACTGTGGGCTAGCGACAATTTCTGTCCACGTGTTGTCGCATTCGGGTATTGACATAGGTGAAGGAAGAGCCTCCATTATCCTCCCGTTATTTTCTTGAGCAGGTGACCATAGCAGCGGTTTCGTTCTGCCTTCCATTGTATGATGAATGGTAGAATGATTATGAGATACGGAAGATAAAGATGTATGAATAAAGAATAATGATTTCCAGATAGGAGCCATCTTGTGCCTTGCCAATACCATGACGTGAACGTCGCGCGAATGCTTACCTTCATTCTGTGCCAAGTTCTAAAGCAACCCTGATAACCACAAACCAACTTAAGTATGGCGTTTTTGTCATGTTTTGAGAGATCTAAATTCTCGAAAATACGCTCGCAAGCTTTTAGGCCAATGGTTTGCCCTCACCTTACGGTGTTGACGAAGTGTTCAACGGTTCGGTTTTCTGTACAACTGTACGATATGTTTTGCACACATAACTGTTTTGATCATTAGGGTGAAATGAAACGGGTTTTAATTACCACTGGATTAGAAATGCTAAAGGGGAATCGCAACTGGTTTAGAAGTTTTTCTTGAATATCGCTCTCACTTTCCAGCAGCGCTGAGCCCCGCAACCCCGACTTAACCGCCCTCTCGGAGGGAACGAGAAAACCATATGGCGTCCCGCCTGCCGGCTGAGCGCGCCCCGTCTCCGCCGCCCTCGGCGCGTCCCGCCCTCGCGACGCGGCGCGGCGCCGTGGCGACGGAGTGACCCTAATTGGGGTGGCGTCGCGCCACGCGGATCCGGGCCCGGCTGTCTCCGGCGCCGCCCACCCCTCCGCCGCTCGCCGCCCCGTGCCCCTCGCGGCGGCAGGCGGGCTCCGCAATCAACAAGTGCTCGCAGCCTCTCTATCTCGCCGCGCGCCCTCGCGCTCGCACCCCGCCCCCACCCCCACCCCCACCCCGCCACGGGCCCTTCTTTTCGCCGCCGCCGCCCGCCGCCGCCGGTTCTTTTCTTCTCTGGCGTCGCCGTCGTAATCTTCCGCCACCGGGACCCGGGGCGGGGCGGGTGAGCGCGCGATCAAGAGGGCACCCACTTTACGGCGCCCCTCTCTCTCTCTCGCCCCCGCCGCCCCGGCCCTCCCGACCCAGTTCATTACTTTCTTTACATCGCCACAAGTACTTTTATTGTCTGAATGTTGGCGACACTTTTCCCTCTCGTTGTCGCAAGGGCGTATCTTTTTCCGGCTGCCTCTTCTTCTGGCTCTCTAGAGTCTTTTTCTTTTCTTGTCTTTTCTTTTTTTTTTTTTTTTCTTTCTTTTGCCTTTGCTCGGGGGAGGGAAAGGAAAGGGAACTCCACTCATCCTCGTCGTTCTCCTTCGCGGAGGAGTTTGCCACGAGTTATCTGCGCTCGCTGGTAATCGCGCCTCCATTGTGCGCGGGCGCGCGTGGGGGTCTCCGGCGTGGGGGTCTCCGGCCGCTCTGCGCTTTGACTGAGACGCCGACACTGGAGCCGATCACGGGCCCTCTGTGAGATGTTCAGCGCACGAGGAGACAGATGGACGGATGGAGCGGCGAGCGGGTGCGAGCCATTGGGTTGAAGGCGTCCGACTCGGTAATTGCGTTTTCTCGGGCGATGGCAGCGGGCAGACGAGCGGCTTTCGGGTTTGACAATTGAAGAAAAAAATTGTTTACTATCTAAACGTATTTAAAAATTAATATATTTCCTCTCGATCAAAAACAAATATTTAAGTCATTTTCAGATTCATTATTCCTAGTATTATGTACCGGAACCTCAATTTTCTTGAGTTGACTCTGTGCAGTTGGGTTTGTATGACACTTCACAGCTGGGAAGCTTGGAAAGGACTCCAAAAATTCCCGTTTCTTCGCACAATTTAAACAATCATCAAGCGGGTGGTCTTCTTTGAGCGCTGGGTCCAGATTTCGATCGCAACCGAAACACTCACGTGTTAGGGGGCATGCCGATAACCCTTACATCCAACATTGATAATCTACCGTACCAGATGTTTCTCAGGAAGGACAGATAAGAAAGGCTGTTTATTCATAGAATTAAAGGTAAAACCTTTCTATACCCTCATTTCTTTCTTAGAAAAAAGTAAAGTAAAATGGATGGGACAGCTGTGTTATGTCAGTGGTCATGGTATTGTTACATGATTTCCGGACCCCTCTTCCCACCGATTTCCTCAAAGAATGATATTCAGATATGATAGCCATCTTTGCTTGCAATGATTTATCCCTATAAAATGAATGTTGTGCGAATTCTGTTTACAATGCTGCCAATTTACACTTGAACTAAAATGTCCGTGTCCTGCATTCTTACTATTTTCTTGAAAGTGTTCCCCTAAAGGGGTAAATAAAGAAAAAAATGTTGTTAAGGGGCTTGTCGGGAAGACGGGTGGTCTGTTAACAGGGGTACGATTTACATACAATATAAGGGTCTCAGTTCCAAGTAAATTGTTCCTTGATTGCGGGAAGGGGGATCTTTCAGAGAGCTTTCATTGTACATGAGAATGACGGCCCACGGGCGATCCCAAAGATCGCACAGTTTAGTGTAATGAGAAAGAAAACGATACACAATATTTTTGAA